CATGGTGGTGGGGGGACACATGCCAGTGGGAGGCGATGGGGTGCTGGGTGTCGCGTGCGGAGCTCTGACCACGCATGAGGAGCTCTGACCACACGTCGCCGGCGTTGGCCGCGCATCGGTGTCATGTACATGTGTCCGGAGGGACGGCGTGTTGCAAAACGCCGTCCTTTGCTTCTCTTTTGGGGATCCGGGGAGAATCCCTTCGCCCCGCGTTCATCCTTTCAGTTTTGCGGGTGTATCTGGCCATGGCGTGATGTTAAACGATGTCTTTTAATTAGTGGAGTCCATTCAGGTTCCTGTTCCCGGCCTGGCGAGGAAATTCAGCGTCGCCTTTGCCCATTTCGCAGCCCGAGGAAGCGCAGATAGAGGAAGGGGAAGGTTGCACTCGTGCTTGCACGCCAGCTAGCACCAGCTTCTGCTCTGCGCTGTGGATATCTGCAGTTCCCTCTCGGCAGAGTGAAAGAGAACTTAAACGAGCCCATCGTGTTTTAAACGGGGTTGAAAGGGGCTGCATACGGCGGGAGTGGGGCTGCAGCATCCCCGCGGGGCGGTGGGCTGCTCGAGGTTGGGCCACGCTTGCAAGGCAGCTTTGGGCTCGGGGCTTTGAGAAGGGCCGAAAGGAAAGGAAAAAGGAAATTCCTACAGGAAGGGTTGAAATCGTGTGAGTTGGGAGGGTGGGAATGGAGATGGTGATATCGAGACCCGGCGCTTTGCAGAGGGTGGCCTTTCGGTTGTTCCAGAGGAGCTCTGCGGGATGGTGGGATGCGGTACCAGGATGGGAGTTTTGGGGTGTCAAGGTACTGGTGGCATCAGCGTGGATCTGTGCGTGATGCTGCTTTTCACCCTGGAGCCGGCACGCGTGGCTTCCTCCTGCTGCCTGCCGGAGCACGGCCGAGCCGGATCTGCCGGGGCATGGCAAACACCCAGCGATGCCGCAAAGTCTCGGGGGGTCGGGGACCAACTGTCCTCCCCGCTGTGACATAGGGACCACCAAGTGTAAGATTTATAGGAACTGGGGGCATTTTCCACGCGATGGAGCAGGTCGGGTTGTGGCCGCTTGGCATTTCCATCGCTTCCTCCTTTTACATCCTTTTTTCTATTCCTGCCCTCGGCCCGTTGCCCAAGGGGCCGCCGGCCTCTGCCCTCCCCACTGAGCCAAAACCAGAAGTGGGACCTCGACGAGACAGTTCGTCGTTAAAAATAACCCCGTCAGCCCATCTCCGGCAGCATTGAACCGGGGACGGATCTTCCCTGCGGCAGGAGATCCGTAATCGATGGGGTGATGGCAGCCGTGTCCCCTGGCACAGGGCATCACGTACAAACGGACCCGTACGTGCCCGAGCCCGTCCAGCCCTGCCCGTCCTTCGCTTCTCCAAATTGATTCCTTCTTTTTCTTCCCTAGTTGCCGAAGCAGCAATAGGAAGAGCTTAGTGGTGGGCACCCCCTCTCCGACCCTCTCGCGCCCTCTCTCCCCCCTCTCCGTGCCGACAGGTAAGGGATGTCCCGGGGGATGGGTTGAGCACCTCCCAAATTTACCCCGATATTTTGGAGGGTAACCTTTCTGCTTCTGCGGCACCTCGTTAGCAGCAGTGGGCTGGCCCTGGGTGCCTTTTCCAGGAGGGAATAGCTCGGGATGCGATTTACCCCCTCTTTCCCATGAAGGAGTAGCTCGCGGTGCCGTGCCGGGGTGGGGATCGGGGTGACTTTTCCCCCTTTCTCCCCGCAGCTGGGAGCAGCCCCTTGGACAGCCCACGCAACTTCTCCGCCAGCACCTCCATCAACTTCCCCTTCGCTCGCAGGTGAGCTCCCGGCCCCCCGCTCCCGGCCCTTTAATATTCACTAATAATTATAATCCACCAGATGGGACTTGTTCTGTGGATCTCAGGTGATTTGTTTTGATTTTTTTTTTTTTTTGTGCTTTTTTTCTCCCTGATTTTTGCTCTGCTGTTGTTTGCTCTGCCATGACCGGTGCCTTCCATCACCCCAGCCATGCTCCTCGGACTGACAGGCGAGTACCAGGCACGGGCTGGGGCTGCGTTCGGGGAGATGTCTGCACCACACCAGCGCGGCCCTTCTTCATGTGCATCCCCGGGTGGGAGATGTTGCTCTGGGACCGGGTTCCCTGCAGCTCCGGGAGCAGAAATATCCCTATTCCCATCACAACGGCCCTGGCCATGAGCTCAGCCCCAGCTCGGACCCGCTCCGAGCACTCCTGACGGATGCTCGGCGGATATCCAGGGGTGGATGCCCAGCCGGGTCCCCGCGGAGGCAGATCTTGCTGCATCCCTTCCCCAGCCCGCGCCGCTCAAGGCGCAGATGCCAAAATCCCGTTTAACTAATTAATTAATTGCACACAGGGGGGAGGGGGGCAGATGGCTGATTTTAACCCATCGATCATCACATGGAAAAAGGCCGGAGGCCTTACGGATGGCTTTCACGCTTGTAACGGAGCAAAAAGCCAAACCGGGTGGTTGTGAGCCCGCCGGCGGTGAGGGCATGCGGTGGTGCCGGTGCCGGATCCGGCACCCTGCCAGCTCCCGCCGGCCACGGCCCCGCATGGGAAACGGCAGCGGGAGGTGAAGGGCCTCTTCTTGACCTGGACATTGCCCCGTCCATTAGAAACGTCTCCAAGAGGAAACATTCGCCTACGTTTGAGCATTTGCCTTCCTGTTTATAACCGGGCTCCGCTCCACGGCGCCTCTTGTCTCAGGACGGGTCTTTAGGAATCCCGATTTCTCATAGAACAAAATCCCAGAAGGCTGAATTTTTCTCTAATTAAAAATCGAATTCTTGCATTGGGTTTTTTTTTTTTTTTCTTTTCTTTTCCATCTGAAATTAATTCACCCAACCGAGCCCCAGTGCTGTCCCTTTGTGGGGACCCTGCTCGCTGTCACTGTCCCTGTGGACACTTGCAGAACAGCCCCCCCTCACCTGCAAACCCCTCTTATTTCACCCAATTTCAGTCTGTCCCGAAAAGAGGTGTCAGGGCTTTACTATTCAAGCCAAACCTGCGTCCTCTGCCCCATTCTTACCGCTCTGACATTATCTATTTGCGTTTAGATGTTGGGTTTTTTTCCTCTATGTGATCGGCACGTTTGCACTCGCAGGGCTGATGGCAGAAGGTGGTCACTGGCTTCGCTACCCTCCTCTGGCTATGGGACCAACACCCCCAGCTCCACTGTCTCGGTAATGTTTGCTTTCTCATGGCAGCAGGCGAGAAGAACCCAAACCCCTTGATTTTTGGTGAAATGCTTCCCGAGCCCTGTGGCATCGGTTCCTAGGCAGCCCGTTCCTAGAGGACCATGTGCTTTAGCTGTATCGTGCTTTCCAAATGTGCTTTTAAGAAAGCCACGGAGCCCAACGAGGGGCTTGCAGCATCCCCAGGGGTTACAGCATCCCATTCCCGGGGGTTACAGCATCCCATCCCTGGGGGTCAGAGCATCCCTGAGGGTTACAGCATCCCATCCCCAGGGGTTACAGCATCCCTCGGGGCTACAACATCCCATTCCCGGGGGTTACAGCATCCCATCCCTGGGGGTTAGAGCATCCCTGAGGGTTACAGCATCCCATCCCCAGGGGTTACAGCATCCCTCGGGGCTACAACATCCCGTTCCCAGGGGTTACAGCATCCCATCCCTGGGGGTTAGAGCATCCCTGAGGGTTACAGCATCCCATCCCTGGGGGTTAGAGCATCCCTGAGGGTTACAGCATCCCATCCCCAGGGGTTACAGCATCCTTCGGGGCTACAACATCCCGTTCCCAGGGGTTACAGCATCCTATTCCCAGGGGTTACAGCATCTCATCCCTGGGGGGTTACAGCATCCCTGTGTGTCACGGGTCGAGCGTGCACGGGCACATCCCGACCGTGCAGGGCAATGGCTGGGCAGGAGCCCCCAAGGGTGCTGCTCAAGGGATGGGGCTCAGCGGAGCTGGGTTGAGTTGGGAGTGGGCAGTGCAGACCTCCCCAAGTTGGCCTTGCCATCCGTATTTCCCATTACCAAGCGCAGAGCATGCTGCCCATCGGTGTTTCCAGCCTCCTAAGAGGCTCAGAGGACTATTTTCCTCGTGGCCTCGCTGGTTTCCACCCCGCTGCCGGCAAGTACGGGTCCGCCTCCTGATCCCCTGCATCTCCCTTTCGTTCCAGTCGTCTTCGTCCTCCCAGGAGCGCCTGCACCAGCTGCCGTACCAGCCCACCCCCGACGAGCTGCATTTCCTTTCTAAGCATTTCCGCAGTACGGAGAGCGTCACGGACGAGGAGGGGCGGCACTCGCCCTGCCTGCGCCCACGATCCAGGAGCCTCAGGTACGGCACCCGCTGTGGGGAGCACCAATGGTGCTGCCGGGAGGATGCGCTGGGTGCCGACACATCCAGCTCATCCTCTGCCCTCTTGTGAGCTGTTCTTGGGACGTCCTGGTCCTGCTAAGCCCATCCCAAGGTGGTGTCCCCGTTACGGGTTTTCCCCTTGCAGGGGAAGGGAGAAGCTATGGCTTGAGGTGGGAGATGCCCCAACCCTGGAAACATTCCAGGTCGGGTTGGACGGGGCTCTGAGCAACCTGGTCTAGTTGAAGATGTCCCTGCTCATGGCAGGGGGTTGGACTAGATGGCCTTTGAAGGTCCCTTCCAACCCAAACTATTCCATGAGTCTATGATTCTGTGATCCTTAGCCGCGTGATTTTGGGCGTTAGGGTCTGGTTCTCAGCATCTTCTCGGCTGTTGGGATGCGGCATTACACTTCTGGCAGCAGATGACACCCTGAGAGTGAAGTTTCCTGGGGCTGAAGCTGGAGAAAGTGGGACTTGTTCCAAAATAGTTGGTTTGCAGCTTCTTGCTCAATTATCTCAAACGTTCTGGTGGAGAGAAGGGGACCGTCGAGCAGAAGCCCAAGTGATGGCTGTCCTTTCAGGGCACGGCTGAGAGGCCACCAACCTGACCTGCCGTTAAGAGGTTAAAAACCCTGTTTCTGGGCTTGGGTCAGGAAAAATCACCTGTGTTTGCTGAGTCTGAGCATCAGCCTGGCCTTTGCCTCTGGAAAAAAAAAAACAAGGAGCAGAGGTGGGCAGGCATTTGTGGGCTGGAGAGAGGAAAATTTGGGGAGAGCATCAAGCTGGAGGCTGTAGCATTGTGCGAGCTGACCCTACGGACCTGCCAAGCTCCGTATTGCCGCTCCAAGCCTGTGTCCCATGCAAGGAGCCGGTCACGTTTCTGCTTGTCCAGCATCAGGAGCTTGTGCTTTTTGCAGGGAATGTT